TAAATTACTAATTTTTTCTAGAATTATTTTGGATTTTTTTTGGAATTATCGGATATACATAATTTATTCTTTTGAAAATTATGTTGAATTAATTTGGAATTACAGGAATTAATTAGAAATTATAGGAATTAATCTAAAAATACAATTTCGGCGAATTTTTTTGTAATTGGAATTATTTGTACAATTTTTCCAGAGGCGACCGAAGAGAGCCGAGGGCATTTTCATTCAAACCGACTTTTATTCCAGAGTTGCATACAAAATTTTCCTCCCAACAGACTAAATTAATAATAACAAAAAAATGATAAATTTGTCAAATATTAAATTGTATTTTGAATTTCAGGTAAGAACCAGTTAGTGGGGGACATGTTGTGCCTATGTGGGGCTGTTTTGTTTGCGATTGTGACAGTACTGCAAGAATTGTCGGTGAAAAATACCGACATTGTTGAGTATTTGGGTCTGTTGGGGTTGTTTGGGAGTATCCTTAGTGGCATCCAAATGTTAGTTTTTGGGTGTTTATCCAAATGAATGCAAATAAATCAAGTGGTTTTAGGGTAATTTTGGAAAAACAAACGTTGATAACATCAACGTGGAAAAGTTCTAGTGCGTTATTGTCTTCGTTTTCGGCATGTCAATTCATGTTTTGCACTTTTTCATCGGTGTTTTTGATAAATATGGGAACAACAGCCTTACATTTATCCCTACTCTCGGGGAATTTTTATACACTAATTGTAGGAATTTTGCTTTTCAATTATAAGGTGAGTTTTTTTTAATTATTTATTATACAGGGTGTACCGTTTTTATTGTTACAAATTTAAACAGGTGATAGGATATTCAATTCTAAGACAAAAGTTTCCTATAAACATGTATCGAAAAATGCTTGGTACGGGAGCTACACCCCCTGGAAGGGGGCTAATAGGTTTTTGCTAGTATTTCAGAAATCATTTAAGATAAAATTACAAAATTTGGTACAGATAATAACCTTTATACACCTAAACGAATTCAAACATCAAATGACGAAATTTTTAATCAGGGGCGTCCAAAACTGGTGGGGTTTACGGTAAAAATACCCTATCTATTTTGGCTTTAGTTTCTTTAGTTATGCATTGACCAAAATGGTGGTCACTTTGAACAACTCCTTTAGAATTAGGCAAATTCATTTAATTAATGTTATTATTGTTACTGTAATGTAATGTTAATTAGTTGAGGTTGATTAAAAAATATGAATTTCTTGCTTTTATTATTCTGTAAATTCTGATTTATTTGAATGTTGTATTGGTGTGTAACATACATTTTAAATTAATTTTATTCAAAAACAATAAGTCGTATCGACACAAGAGAGACTTTTCTGTGATAAACTATCGAACTTAAGATTTTGTTGCTGAAAGTACCGAGAAACTAAAGCCAAAATAAATAGGGTATTTTTTTACCTTAAACTCCCCCAGTTTCGTACGCCCCTGATTAAAAATTTTGACATTTGATGTTTGAATTCGTTTAGGTGTATAAAGGTTATCATCTGTACCAAATTTTGCAATTTTATCTTAAATGGTTTCTGAAATATTATGAAAAACATATTAACCCCCTTCCAGGGGGTGTAGCTCCCTTACCAGGCATTTTTCGATACATGATGATAGGAAACTTTTGTCTTAGAATTGAATATCCTATCACCTGTTTAAATTTGTAACAATAAAAACGGAACACCCTGTATATTATTAATTTATTCCAGTTTCATGCCTTATATTTTCTATCGTATACTTTATCAATGACTGGTGTCTACATCTATGCTATCAAACAAACACCAGTAGCATCAAGAAGTATATCTTCAAATCATACAACACAACTCAATAATGCAAATAATCGGTAACTATACAGGGTGAACAAAAACTATGGACCAAGCGGTTTTTTTTTCAAAAAATAGAGTGTGTCAAAATTTGCGCCCAGAGAAAATTTTCTAGTAAAATAAGACACCAGGAACATGAAAAAAAAATTAATCTGTCAAAAATTTTTGACATTTGACACTTTGTTTATGTCTATTTAATGATACTAATAATGTAATAATTTAGTAAAGGTACAAAACTTGAAAAATTATACTCTCATACTTTGAAATTTTTATATTTTTCTTTGGGGCGTGAGTTCTGGCGCAGCCTGTATAGTTTAGGCGTTTGAAAAACGTTTGGTTCCATGGTTTCTGTTGTAATATTTGGCCTGAAAAGTGCGTTTTTCAGCTCTGAATGTCAGTTGAGAGAACACATGATTTCAGACAGCCCCGAACGTGCCACTGAAATTCTTTCAGCTTTTGGGACATTAAACAGCAACGATACTTTTCCCCTAAGTCACAGTACAAACACGACTTTTACTTCTTTTTATGGCAGCCATGACGTTCTCAATACTCAAACGACTAGTGCATAAATAAGGCCTTAACTGCACTTTTATTACTTTTTGCAAGGCACTAAGGTAATAAATCGATTTTTTGCACCGGGTGACGTTTTGTGTTTCACAAAGTTAACGTTGGTATTTTTTTATAACTAGCAACCTGACAAAAAAAATTCAGGGTCGCCCGCATATAATAATTGTGATTTTTATCCTCGAGTTTTGTCAGCTCAAAAAAATCAAATTCACCAGATTTGAGTCGAAAAACAAGATTGGGACTAAATTTTTGCCTCAAAATCTTGCAAAAAAGGTGAAAATTTGTTTAAACTCTTAAAAAAAGAATTTCGGCTTGTTTTTACTAAAATAATTGCTTTTCTAGTTGAAAAATATGCTAAAAGGCTCGAGTAAAGTAAAAATTAAATATTTTCCTATTTATTTTGTTGAATTTTTGGTTTGTTTTAACAGAATCTCGCCATAAAATGAGATGTTTTTTAGTACAAAAACTTGGTTAAAAGCATCGACCAATTTTTATGGTTTTTCGACTTATTTTTGACATAAATTTTGTACAAAATTTAGTTAAATTGAGGAAAATAACACCACAATCAATTCTTTTTGTGAATTTTGGGCGTGTTTGCACAAGATTTTGAAAAATAAAAAAAAGCAAGTCGAGCAAAGAACTGAAAAAAATAATATAAAATCGATTTTATTTCGAATTTTTTTAATTTGTTGTTTTTTTTTATCCCAAAAACGTGCTTAAACTCTCGAAAAAGACAAAAATAACACTATTTTTGGCCAATTTTGTTGAATTTTTGGCTTGTTCTTAGCAAAATTTTGCGAAATAATTGCGTTTCTAGCTGAAAAATATGCTAAAAGGTTCGAGAAATGTAAAAATTATCTAATTCCCAATTTAATTTGTTGTTTTTTTTGGGTTCTTTTATCAAAATCTCGCAAAAAACTTGAGATTTTAGTACAAAAACGTAGTTAAAAGCATTTTTATGGTTTCTTGACTTACTTTTGACTTAAACTTTGTAAATTTAGTTAAATCAAGTAAAATAACATCAAAATCAGTTCATTTTGTGAATTTTAGAGTGTCAAAAACGTGCTTAAACACTCGAAAAAGACATAAATAACACCCTTTTTGACATATTTTGTTGAATTTTGGCTTGTTTTTCAAATTTTGCAAAATAATTGTGTTTCTAGCAGAAAAACGTGCTAAAACGCTTTAAAAATGCATAAATAACATCATTTTCGGTGTACTTTTGTGATTTTTTTGGCATGTTTTCAACAAAATTCTGCGAAATAATTGCGTTTCTGAAAAACGTGGTGAAACGCTCGAGAAATGCAATAATAATACAATTTTTGACTATTTTTCTGTTGCAAAAAACCTGAAATTTTAGTACAAAAACGTGTTTAAAAGCAGTTTCGATCAAATTTGGTGGTTTCTCAACTCAATTTTGCTCAAAAACCAGTTAAATTGAGTAAAACAAACAAAATAACACCAAAATCAATTCTTTTTGTGATTTTTAGGCGTGTTTGGCCAAATTTTTTTGAAAATAAATAAGCCTCTGGTTCTAAAAAGAAGAAAGTTGAGCAAAAAACTTAAAAAAAAACATCAATTCCGATTTAATTTTGTAATTTTTTAGCCTGCTTTAGCCAATTTGGAGTTCTTTTTCAATTTTTTAAAGAAAATTTTGCGAAATAATCAAGTTTCTGGTTGAAAACGTGGAAAATGCTCAAAAAGCTGCAAATATAGTAAAATCAATGTATTATTTTTTTATTATAACCAGATTTATAATTTTTTCATTTTCAAAAAATCACCAAAAAAGTTTTCACCAACAAATTGGAAGGATTATCAACATTTCAGTGTTACCAATAGATTTTTTTGTCTCAGTTTTTTTCTTAAGAATGAAGAAAATTTCGTATTAAGACATAGGCACCCAAAACTGCAAAAAAACCGACTTCACTTAATGCATTTTGATGCAAATAATTCATATGGTGGGGCAATGACCAAAAATTTGCCAGTAAAAAAAAACAACTTGAATTTATTATAATTACAATAGATTTTTTTGTCTCATTTTAAGTCACCCGGTGTAAAATACAAGTAAAAACTCGACTGTCGTTCCCGAATTAAAACGACAACTTTTGTATATTTATAAACCCAATTTCCTTGTGTATTAATCGATTATAACCAATATCCGGTTGATGTAGATACAGTAAAACTTTTAATAAACGTTTTTATTTATTTGTTCATAATTAATGTTACTATGTTCTACTATAACACTGCCTTAACCTACTCACTTCCGGCTGGTGAAGACGCCCTGGAACCTTTTTCACTCCCTGAGTGTTTTTCCGGAGTTCCAGACCTACTCCTACTTCTAGAAACCGATCTGGACCTTCTGGAACCACTTCGCGATCTAGATCTAGATCTAGATTTAGATCTCGACGGTGATCGTGATCTAGATCCAGATTTAGACCGACTCCTGGATCTAGATCTCGAAACTGAGCGTGATTTAGATCTCGACACACTCCTACTTCTAGAACTAGAACTCGAGCGTGATCTTGAACGAGATTCACTTCTTGATCGTGATCTTGATCTTGATTCCGATCCTGAAGAAATCTTCCTCTTACGACCACCACGCCCCTCGCTTTCATCCCCACTCGCAATCTTCAATTTCCCATCATCACTATCATCTTCACTTGTCGAAATCGTCGCTTTTGACACAATTCGACTCTTTTGTTTCGCACTAAGTCCTTCATCTTTTTGTCTACCTCTTGGTTCTTTCAATTTCTTTCGACTACGTTTCGTTTTCGGTCTATCACTTCCCGATTCGGATTTTTCTCTTCGTTTTCGTCCACCTTTTCTTCTTCGATCTTTACTACGTTGTCTTTTTCGACCTCTTTCTTTCTCTTCTTGATTCTCACGGTCGCTCCCAGAATCGCTAATATATTGATCTTTGCGACCTTTACCTTTACCTTTGGATTTCTCATTGGGGATTTCCATAAATAAGAGGGCGTTTTTGGTCTTCTCTTTGTATTCTTGACGTTTTTGGAGGAGTTGTTCTTTGGTTAAGCGCATTTCCTCTTCAACTTTCTTCTGTTCTTCGAGTTGACGCATTTTGAAGGCGGTTCTTTCATCTTCTTGTTTTCTTCGGAGTTGACGTTCCTCTTCGTCGACACGGCGTGCCCTAGCCACGTGGTATTGAGCTTGGGAAAGTAAATCTTTGCATTGACGAGCCTCCATTGCAGCTAATGTCACATCGTAGCGCATTTTATCCCCAAATTCGGCCAAGTAAGTGAAATATCTACAATTTTTTTTTTAATTAAATGAAAAAAAAAAAAACAAAAAATCTCACTTTAGAGATAAACCAAGTTCGTGCACCGCTTGAAGCACAGTTTGCAAAGTCGATTTTTCATCTTTCAAAATATAGGTGGCTAATCTTTGCAACACTAATGCGATGTTGTAGAGTAGAACTGTATCGTGTGGGGCCACTCGACGAGCTTTCAGCAACACCATTTTGGCCTCTTTTAGTTTAGAAGCCTTGTAATAGGCCCTAGCTAAATATTGAAGCACTTCGACATTATTATACTTGAAAAATTTCCTCAAACAATTCTCATACTAAAATTACAAGAATTACAAAAACAAATTTGAGTTTTTTTTTTTTCAACTACCATTTGTATGGCACTAACAAATTGCTTTTGTTCAACATAAACATGCGCAATATTCAACCAAACGTCGCAAAAATCAGCCGTTGCCTCTCTGACTTGGGCGAAAATGTCACGTGCTTCATTGACAGCCCCCTTGTGGGCTAAAACAGCCCCGATTCCATTTGCAGCCCAGATGTTTTTCGGGTCAATTTTTAAGACTTGTTTGAACATTGATAAGGCTCGCTCCTGGTGGCGCTTTTCACGTTCTTTGTCCTTCGTTGGTTGGTGGAGAGTTTGCAACCAAACGTTCCCCAAGGCAATCAGGGAATAAGAATCCTGCGAAGTGGCCGGATTCTGCAAAATTGCAAGTTCCATAGTTTTTTTTTCTTGAATGAATGTAAATATCGTATGAAGATATAGGTTTTTCACCAAAATTTAAAAAAAAAAACGACTTCACTTAATGCATTTTGATGCGAATAATTCATATGGTGGGGCAATGTCGAAACATTTGCCATATCAATGAAAAAAATAACTCTTTTTAACCTATTTTGTTGAATTTTGGCTTGTTTTTCAAATTGTGCAAAGAAAACGTGTTAAAACGCTTGAGAAATGCAAAAATTACAACATTTTCGGTGTAATTTTGTGATTTTTCGGCATGTTTTTAACAAAATTTTGCGAAATAATTGCGTTTCTAACTGAAAAACGTAGAGAAATGCCATAATAATATAATATTTGACTTAATTTGTCGTTTATTTTTATTTGTTTAAACGAAATCTCGCAAAAAATCTACGATTTTAATACAAAAACGTGTTTAAAAAAAGTTTCGACCAAATTTTATTAACTTGGTCCAAAAACCAGTTAAATTGAGTGAAACAAATAAAATAATACCAAAATCAATTCTTTTTGTAAATAAAAAAGAGCAAGTCGAGCAAAGAACTGAAAAAATAATATAAATTTCGATTTCATTTTCTAATTTTATTAGCCTGATTAAAAATTTGTTGTTTTTTTTATCTCAAAAACGTGCCTAAACTCTCAAAAAAAAACAAAAATAACACTATTTTTGGCCCATTTATAATTGCGTTTCTAGCTGAAAAATATGCTAAAAGGTTCGACAAATGTAAAAATTATATAATTTCCAATTTAATTTGTTAATTTTTTTTAGTTTGTTTTAGCAAAGTCTCGCAAAAAACTTAGGATTTGTGTACAAAAACATAGTTAAAAGCATTTAGACCAAATTTTATGGTTTTTCGATTTATTTTTGACTTAAACTTTGTTCAAAATTTAGTCATGTAAAAGAAATAAGTCTCTAGTTCAAAAATTAAGTTGAGCAAAACAAGCAAAAAAATAATATCAATTTCAAATTAATTTAGTAATTTTGTAGCCTTTTTAAACAATTTTCTTTGAATTTTTAATAAAAACATCCTTAAACACTGAAAAAGGCAAAAATAACACCCTTTTTGACCCGTTTTGTTGAATTTTGGCTTGTTTTTTCAAATTTTGCAAAATAATTGTGTTTCTAGCAGAAAAACATGCTAAGACGGTTGAGAAACACAAAAATGACATCACTTTCGGTGTAATTCTGTGATTTTTCGACTTGTTTTTAACAAAATTTTGCGTTTCTAACTGATAAACGTAGTGAAACGCTCGAAAAGTGCAATTTTTGATTTAATTTCTGGTTTATTTTTATTTGTTTAAACGAAATTTTTTTATTACAAAAACGTGTTTAAAAAAAGTTTCGACAAAATTTTCTTAATTTTGTCCAAACACAAGTTAAACTGAGTGAAACAAACAAAATAACACCAAAATCGATTCTTTTTGTGATTCTTAGGCGTGTTTGAACAAGATTTTCGAAAATAAATGAGCCTCTGGTTCGAAAAAAAGCAAGTCGAGCGACGAACTCAAAAAATAATATCAATTTTGATTTCATTTCCTAACTTCATTTCAAAATCTCAAAAACTTGCTTAAACACTCGAAAAAAAAAGTAACACATGTATTGACCCGTTTTGTTGAATTTTTGGCTCCTTTTAAACAAAATTTTACGAAATAATTGTTTCTAACTGAAAAATGTACTTCAAAATAGGAAAATTGTTGTAGTAAAATCTTGTACAAAAACAAATTTGGTGTTTTTTTTCATTTTTTGGTGAAATAAACAAGTTTCCCGTTAAAAAATGTGAAAAATGCCCAAAAAGATACAAAAATAGTAAAATTAGTGTACTAACTTTTTATTATAAGAGATAAAGTCACCAAAAAAAATTAGAAGGATTGCCAACATTTCAGTGTTGCTAATAGATTTTTTTGTCTCATAGTTTTTTTTCTTAATAATGAAGTAAATTTAAAAAAAACCGTCTTACTTAATGCATTTTGATGCGCATAATTTGTATGGTGGGGCAATGTCCGAACATTTGCCACATCAGTGAAAAAAAAACACTTTTATAAATTCTTAATAAAAAATAGATGATTTTAAATAGAAAAAATGTCACACCTTTAAAATCCTCTCGTACTTCTTCTGCCCAGGGCCCCACTCGGCCTTGGCCAAATGAAGGTTTCCCAGCAGTGACCACGCATCAGGATGTTCGGTATTGAACCTTAAGGCTTCCTTGAACCAATCAGAAGCCTCATAAATGTGACCTTTATCACGTGCCATGCACCCCAATCTCAAATAACAATCGACATAATTCGGATGCTCTTTCAAAATATCTTTGTATAATTTCTCAGATTTGTCAAATAAACACAAAGCTTCGTTTAATCTAGCCAAATTGTAGGTAATCGTCACCGAAATCGAATTATAATACTGTGGATCATGTTCCGCTTCTGTTTTAGCTCGTGTCAAAGCCTCTTCGAGATTTTTCTTCGCTTCTTCTAAATTATTCAGTCGGTAATGTAGAGCACCTACATTATTCAAAATCTCGGTCGGTATATCGGCTTGCACGTCCTTATTTAGGATTTGAATTGCTGTTCCGTACGCATTTAGTGAGCCTTGAAGGTCGGATTGTTCCAAAATTTGGGCTAATTCAATCCAGGCTTCAATGTCGTCAGGAAATTGTTCTGTTACTTTTTTTAAATGATTTTTAGCAATGTCACGTTTTGATTGTGAGGACGAGTTGGCGTAGAGTGAACCAAGGATTTTCATTGTTTCGTAGTTTCCAGGCTGGGCTTTCAACACTTTCTCGAAACATTGGGCGGCCTAAATCAATTAAATGATTTAAAAATAACAAATAACACACACTATTTAATAGTTATTTGTGTTAGAAGAGAGAAAAAGACACTTTTTTCCCGTGTCATACATATGATTTTTTCTACGATCCAGCAAGACAAACTTCAATTTCTCTCGAAATCCTAGTTTTCCAATTACATACTTAGTGAATAAAAAGTATAAAACCAAGCATTTTTTGCATAAACTAATTATTCTACGAAAAATTTTTTTTTTAGTTTTCGAGTGTTGCAAAAATTATAAAATCAAATTCATCAGATTTGAGTTGAAAAACAAGATTGGGACTTGAATTTTTGACTCAAAATCTTTCAAAAAATCTGCTTATACTCTCAAAAAAGTAAAAATGACATTATTTTTGAACCAATTCGGTGGTTTTTCGGCTGGTTTTTTGTAAAATTTTGCGAAATAATTGCGTTTTTAGTTGAGAAATATGACTCGAGAAATGTGGAAATTACATAATTTCCGATTTATTTTGTTGTTTTTTTTTTTGGTTTGTTTTAGCAAAATCTCGGAAAAAAATTAGATGTTTTTAGTACACAAACTATGTTATAAGCATTTTCGACCAAATTTTATGGTTTCTCGATTTAAACTTCAAAATTTAGTTAAATCGAGTGAAATAACATCAAAATCAGTTCTTTTTGTAAATTTTAGGCCTCTGTAAACAAAATTTTGCAAACTAAGTTTTTAAACATTTTTTGTAATTATCTTAAAAACATGCTAAACACTGATAAAAAGCAAAAATAACACCCTTTTTGACCTATTTTGTTGAATTTCGGCTTGATTTTCAAATTTTGCAAGATAATTGGGTTTCTAGCAGAAAAACGTGCTAAAAAATGCAAAAATAACACCGTTCGCGTTGTAATTTTGTGATTTTTCGGCTTGTTGTCAACAAAATTTAGCAAAATAATTGCGTTTCTTTCTGAAAAACGTGGAAAAACGCTCGAGAAATGCAATAATAATATAATTTTTGACTTAATTTGTTGTTTATTTTTATTTGTTTAAATGAAATTTTGCGAAAAACCTGAGATTTTAGTACAAAATTTAGTAGTTTTCGGGCTTATTTTTGTCTTAATTGTGCCCAAAAACCAGGTAAATCAAGTAAAATTCATAAAAAAAACATTAATATCAATTTTTTGGTATTTTTTGGACAAAAATTTGCAAAATATAAATGAGACTGGTTCAAAAACCAAAAGTCGAGCAAAACAAGCTAAAACATATCAATTTCAATTTAATTTGCAATTTTTTCACCTTTTTAAACGAGATGTTTCAAAAAAATATTTTCTTCTTAAAAACCTGCTTAAACACTCAAAAAAGGCAAAAAATAACAACTTTTTTGTAAAATTTTTGGCCTATTTTTCAAATTTTGTAAAATAATTGTGTTTCTAGCAGAAAAAAAAGCTTAAAAAATATGCAAAAATTACATTATTTTCGGGATATGTATGTATTTTTAACAAGTTTTTAACACAATTTTTTTTTTCAAAAAAGTGCTGAAACGTTCGAGAAATGTAATTTAATTTAAAAATTTAAATTTTAGTACAAATTTTGTAGTTTCTCGGTTTATTTTTGAACAAGATTTTGCATAATAAATGAACCTCTGGTTCAAAAAATCGAGCAAAAAAGATAAATAATATCAATTTTGATTCAATTTTGGGATTTTTAGGCTTTTTAAACTAAATATTGATCAATTTTAAAACAAATGTTTTTTTTTTGTATTTATCTCAAAAAATGTGCTGAAACACTGAATAAAAAAGCAAAAATAACATTTTTTTGACCTATTTTGTCGAATTTTAGCTTGTTTTTCAAATTTTGCAGGCAAAACATGTTAAAACGCTTGACCATTTTTTTTAATTAAAGATTACGATCTAAAAATGACCCCTAATTAGTAAATAAAATTGTTTTTTAACTTGTAGGTTTTT